TTAACATGCTTTCATTCTGTATATGTTGTTTTCAGTGTTTAGATATATTCTTTTTTATATATTCTTTATTATATAATGTATTTAAAACATTTTTAAATTGAATGAATGTTCTTATATCATGAGTTATGTCATAAATTTGAATTTGGCACTACTAGTGATACTCAGATAGAATCAGATTCAGAAAACGATAACTATTTTAAAAGATACTTAATTTTTTAGTTAGTTTTATTTTGATATTAATTTTTATAGGAGCCACTACCATGCTTATGCAAGAGAAAACATAATAACCAACAGTATAGTAAGCAAGTACCTACTCCTGTATTGCAAAAAAAGAAACAGAAAACAATTTTTATGCATACTCCACATACTGTAGCTCAAGGTACTAATTGTCTGTCAGTAAGTTGATTTAGGAAGAAAAGATTCTGAACATTTTTTTCTATGCTTCAGTGATTTACACATTTTATTGGTTGCTAAATTAATACATTTTATTTAATTTAAGAATGTTTTATTTTATAAATGTTTTGTTCTTGTGTTTCAACGCTTTTAGAAATTAATTAATGTTTGGTTTTTTTGTCTTTCTGATATATCTTTATTGTTAGAAAGAGGTGTTAGTAAAACTTACTCTTTCCAGTAATTAAAGTAATATCATGACAAATAGTTCTGAAATTCTATAGATGAACTTGCAGCAGTAATTTAATGATTATGATAACAGATTAAATTGTAACTTTTTATAAATGTACTATAAAAATAATGTTGTTTAATTATTTTCTTAAACCTTTAGGTTAACAAACTTTCTAAAATTGGAGGTAAAACCATTAAGACAAATACAAAAAAATGTGATGCAAAGATTTGTTGAAAGTAGTTTGAAATAAAAAATCTTTTGAATCTTTTTATTATAGTTTGTTTTAAACTTGTGTTTAAAATATGTTTAATATATATTTTTAAAAGTTTGACGAATTCTTATCAGACATAAAATAAATCTTTTTTTTTTATGTCTGGTTATTATTTTTTTTTGTAACTCTTTTCTCTTACTTTTGTATTTCCTTGAGCTAAAGAACAACCTTAAAGTACAAAGGTTGATTTGTAACGCATACTAAACCTTTTTTTTTTACTCTATATATACATACATATATATGTACATAAATAAACATACATATATATGTATGTATATATACATACATACATATATAAATATATATATATATATATATATATATATATATATATATATATATATATATATATATATATATATATATATATATATATATATATATATATATATATAAAATAATGGTGCAATTTAAAGTTTTTTCTTTTATTTATAAAGTTGTACTTGATAAAAATAATTAAATAAAGTTGATTATTTTGAATATTTATTGATTACTATGATAAATTATATAAAATATATAAAGTATAAATATTTTGCAAAAACACTTTTATTTGCAATAACTGCTTTATTGCATTGTGGCATGCTTGCAATTTATTTTTTATAGTTTTTGTCAACTCTGGGTTATTATGCCAGATCTTGATAATCTCTTCCATAAGATCTTGCTTATTAGTAAGATTTTTTTTTTTTCCAATCTTTTGCTTTACTATTTCCCAAATGTTTTCTATGGGGTTAAGATCATGCGAATTGTCTGGCCATAGCAATACATCAACTAAACCATAACAGTTTTTATTGTGTGGCAAGTTGCATAAATATAAGATTTTTGACATTATTTTTAATATATTTTTGAATTTTTTTGTCACTTTTTGACTTTTTTGGCTGGACATTAATCCCTCTTCTTTTAGCCTTCTACAAATGGTCCAGTCTGACACAACAATTACAGCTTCGTGGATAAGCTTAGTGGTTTTTTTTCTGTTTTCCAGGCAGATATTTCTGATTATACTGTCCGCTTTCGGTGTTTTCTTGCGTTTAAAAGGTGGTCTTCTTGGACCAAACTCTTCCTCTGTATCAATTCTTTTTCTTACTTGCATTACGGTTTGGTAAGAAACCTTTGCGGTTTGTGCAATTTTTCATTGAGAATAATTTGTATTTTGTAAAAGACATGTTTATCAATTTTTAATGTAACTGTAATAATAATAACAATGTATAATGCAGGTTGTTGACCAATGGTTTATAATCGAAAATTACTATGGCTGGCGGTAAAGGTAAAGAGAAGTTTAAAGGAACAAACATTAGGTATTTACTTGTAAGTTAAGTGTAAAATTATATATTTTTTAAAAATCACAGTTCGTTTTTTTAATGCTATTTTATTTTTAATTTTTTGATGTATTTGATGCAAATTACTTAGGCAATACCTTTTTTTATAGAGAGCGTTTTGTCAACCGAAATAAGAAAAGGAATAATGACTTTATTAAAATACGCAATCGACAGATCAAATGGTGGTGGTCGGCGCGTAAAAGGCAATTCACCCAATGTATAACATTCATACTTTTTCCTAGTTGTTCTGGAACTATTGATAATAGTTATTATTGATAAATTGATAAATATATTACTGATAAATAAAACTTTTTTTTTCAAACATTTTACTTTATTTGCATTGTATATAAAGTCCGTTGAAGCAGTTTAGTTGTATCTGATTAATTTACGTAAAATATAATATTCTTTGCGCAAATTGTTGCTTTTTTATTGTGTTAATTTATTGCAATTAAAGTTGAGATAATTTTTCAGTTATTTGGATTTAACCCAAAGAAAAAACAAAAATCAACGTTGAATTTACGTTGTTTCAACGTTGTTCTAACGTCTTATCAACTACGTATCAAGCGAATATATCACCTATTCAAAGTTGAAATATGGTTGATATGTAGTCGATAAAACGTTAGATCAACGTTGAAACAACGTAATCATCGACGTTGTTTCAACGTCGAAGTTTTCGGTGTCGTATTTTATTTCCAATTCAACCAAATTTCAACGTTGTTTCAACGTAGCATATGGTCGGTCTACGACGTTGTTTCAACGTTATTTCAACGTCATTGTGCCTGCTGGGAAGGTTATGTGTGATTGGGGATTTCCATTAACTGAACTTGATGTTAAAATGTTAGTAGCTGGTTATTTAAAATTGCAAAATCGTACTGTAAAAGTATTTAAAAACAATGTTCCTGGTGAAATTCTTCCACCATACACAGTTTTTAAAAGCACACATATGATTTATGGATAAAACATGCTCCAAAAAATTCTCGCTTTAACAGAACCCAATCTGGCTGGTTTGATGAAGTTACTTTTGAGGATTGGTTTTTTTGAACATTATTGTCATGCGTTAAGAAACAAACTGGGAAAAAAGTATTAATAGGTGACAATCTCTCTTCGCATTTAAGTCATAAAGTTATTCATTCTTGTGAAAAACATAACATTAGATTCATATGCCTTCTGCCCAATTCAACCCATTTATTTCAACCTCTTGATGTTGTATTCTTTGCACCATTAAAAAAAGCATGGAAAAGTATACTTCTGGATTGGAAACTTACTTCTCGTGGTAAAAAGTTTGCAATGTTACCAAAAGAAGATTTCTCTAAGTTGCTGAATGATTTAATGGCATCTATTAATGAATGTTCGAGAAAAAATTTAATAAGTGGATTTAGAGCTTGTGGTTTGGTGCCATTTAATCGTAATGCAGTGTATATCAAAATACCAAGTGAAAACACCTTGAGTCGTTGTAAAGCTTTAGACCAGAGCCTTTCAGACATATTAAATGAGAAAAAAAAATGAAGGTGGTGATAAGAAAGATGTTACACTAAGTAAAAGTAAGAATAAAAACAAAATATCCAAAAAAAGACTTAAAATTAAACCAGGAAAATCTATTTCTGTAGAATATGATAGTAAAACAGAAACAGCATCTGAAGGTGAATCAGTCTCTATTGAATTTATGATAAAGTACTGAAAAGGCTTTTAAACTTTGTTTTAAAAAAACAGAGTTTAAAAGCCTTTTCAGTACAATTTGTTTTACAATTTTGTTACAAATTGTTTGTTTATTCTTTAGTACTCTCTTATTTTTTGCTTTTTCTGACATTTAATAAAAAAAATTATTAAGTTTTTTCAATCATTGGGTTAAAAAATAATAAAAAATCAAAATATTTTAGCTAATATGTTTCTTTAATACTGTTTATATTTATTTTTGTAGTCCCTTTTTTTCCATTTCTTGACATATTTTAGGTACTACTTTTTGAAATAAATGCTAACTGTAAGTTTAAATTACATTAAATGTGGTTAATAACACTTAATTTACATCAGGTGCTAAAAAAACAATTCACTATGACAAAGTTACCCCAATGCCGGGTAACATTGACCACCTCATTATTTCCATAAAATCTTGGATTTGGTGAATACAATGAATACACCATTTCACTAATAAAATGACATTAGTAATGTACAACTTTGAGCGTTAAAATAGTTTTGGAAAAATGTTCCTTTTTTTCAAACACTTATCTTAATCAAATTTGGCACAAAGTTACCCCGGTTTACGGTATTTGAAATTGTAACACTAGTCTTTTTAAATGTGGAATCGTTATTGTTTTAAAAATAACGTTTGGAAGTTTTAGTACGATTGTTCTTAGTTACTTTTTTATTTATTAATTTTTAAAATTACTTTACTTAGTTACTTTTTGTTTTAAAAAGAGGTAAAGGTCTTATAGCAGAGCACCGGAAAAAAACATTTAACCAGAAATTTCACGCAGTTTTTGTGCTCATATTGGGACAATTAAGTAAGTGCAAATTTCATAAGTGCGAACTAATATAAGTGCGAATGGCAAAAGTGTGAACTGTCATAATTGCAAATCAATTGCAAAAACTGACAAAAGTGCAAATCAGCATAAGTGCAGACTAGCATAACCCAGCTAGCACACTTACATTGGGCCAACGTATGTAAAACCATCACAAGCATCGGCTCATTTTTCCAATGCAAAACCAACGTTGATCCAATGTCATTTGGTTAATGATAAAATTTTTACCGATGGAACTAAAAACATCTGGCAAATATACATTGGTCCAATGTATGTAAAAACATCGCAAAAAGTTGATTGTTTTTACGATCTAAAACCAATGTTGATCCAATGTATATATCTCGATATTGATTCAATATATATAAATCAACGTTTTTCCTATGTATGTAAAAACATCGCAAAAAGTTAACTGTTTTTACGATCTAAATCCAACGTTGATCCAATGTATATATTTTCGACGTTGATTCAATGCGTATAAATCAACGTTGATCCAATGTATGTAAATACATCGCAAAAAGTTGATTGTTTTTACGAACTAAACCCAACGTTGATCTGACCAAACATTGCTATTGCAAAATTATATCATTTAAATATCACACCACAACCAACACAAACATGATTTTTGTTTCGATGTTTGTAGCAATATTATTTTTCTTCACTTATATATATATATATATATTTTATATATATATATCTATATATATAAATATATATATATATATATATATATATATATATATATATATATATATATATATAATATATATATATAAAATATATATATATATTTATCGAAAGAGCGTTTTAATGTAAAAAAAGTCTCTTACGACTACAATTTTAATTACCTCGTCTCTTAAGCTGTTTTTGATTGTCATCGAAATGTCAAAGCAATTAATTTATGCGGAAGTACATTAAATTTAATTGTTTTTTAAAAATTTTTTTAAAAAACCGCAATTATAACGACTAGAAAGTTTTTTTTAATTAGTGGTGTTTTTGTTATTGATTTAATAAAAAACATTTTTAAAACATGCGTAAATGTTGCTACATCGACTATCTTATAGCCTGACTCGCAACGGAGTGCTGCTACATCGACTGACAAATAGCCTGACTCGCAACGGAGTGCTGCTACATCGACTGACAAATAGCCTGACTCGCAAGGGAATGCTGCTACATCGACTGACAAATAGCCTGACTCGCAAGGGAGTGCTGCTACAACGACTGACAAATAGCCTGACTCGCAAGAGAGTGCTGCTACATCGACTGAGGGTTTGGTTTGGCCAGGCAGTCTATCAATAAAAAAAAAAATTTAATTTTTAAATTTTTAAAACTTTTTCTGGTCTGGTTTATTAACGCGCTCTTTAAAACTACAGTTTATGGGAAATTTTTTTTGATGCCACGCAAGAGACATGCAAGAGTATATATATATATATATATATATATATATATATATATATATATATATATATATATATATATATATATATATATATATATATATATATATATATATATATATATATATATATATATATATATATATATATATATATATATATATATAGATAGATAGATAGATAGATAGATAGATAGATAGATAGATATAGGTATAGATATAGATATAGATATAGATATAGATATAGATATAGATATAGATATAGATATATATATATATATATATATATATATATATATATATATATATATATATATATATATATATATATATATATATATATATATATATATATATATATATATATATATATATATATAAAGAAAATTGAATTCCAATTAATATTGAATACAACGCTTTTCCAATTAATCTTGTAAAGTTCAACAATGATTCAACGTAAATACAACGTATAAAATAAAACGTTGAATCAACGTTGAAAATATAACCAATTTCGAACTTTAAATAAACGTTTTATTTGTAACTATAATGATAGAACGTTTGGCTTTTTTCTAAACACACGACATTGATCGAATGTTTTAACAACGTATGTGTGCTAGCTGGGAAGTGCGCCGAAAGAATTTCCAAACATTGTTATTGGCATAAGTCCAAACTGGCATTAGTACAAAGCAGTTGCAAAAACTGGCATAAATGCGAATTGACATAAATGTGAACTAGGATAAGTGAGCCAAAAGAATTTTTTTATATTTACAAAAGAACTTGCATATATTTTATTATTTACAATTTTATTCGGCGCACTTGCCAATGTTTAGAAATTTATTTGGCGCTCATATTCCAATTCGCACTTATGCCAGTTTGCACTTATGTCAATGTTTGCACTTATGCCAGTTTGCACTCATGTCAATGTTTGCAAATTCTTTTAGCTCACTTTTGCCTATTCGCACTTATGCCAGTTTGTACTTATGCCAGTTCACACTTAATATCTGCAAATTAAT